TTGTATGTGTGTGTGTGTATCATATATATATATTTATATGTATATATATATGTATTTATATGCATCTCTATATGTATGCTCTATATATTTTTCTATTTTGATCTTCTTTGGGCGGGAATGTGTGTGTGTGTGTTCTTTTAATATGTTAATATGTTTACGTCTGTACGTGTGAGCGAGATACATGTGTAGAAAGAGAGAAAGTTGGTATGTTATGTTCACTTGTATTTGCGTGTGTGTGCGCGCGCTTGCATATGCGATTGTGCGCGTGTGTATATATCTATGCACGTGGGTACGTGAGGGAGTATGTGTCTGAGTTTATGAACCTCCATCATACGTATAAATAAATAGGTGGGCGTATAACTATATATTTGTGCGAGTCTGACCTCGTATCTATGTTAATTTTGGCGTTCTGGACTAGACGGTGTATTTTAACTAAAACATGATTACGTTAATATCATTGAATCGAGTGCTCATATGGCCATATTATATACATGATCACATTTACTTGAGTTGTCAATGAATCATTCTGATATTCCTAAACATGAAACCACGTTTGATTTAGTCTCGCACTGTGATGGTGACGCTCGAAATGTGTTGCCATACCCACTAGTCTACTTTTATATAAATTGTGATTAAGGTAAATATCAGGTGAGTGCGTGCTTGCAAACTACTAAATTGATGCGTCCACGGTGCGCATAAGCTCTGTATACTCTCCATTGGCCAGTCTAAGAAGTTCGGTGTGAGTACCAATCTCGGCAACGCCGCCGTCGTTTAAAACCACTATCTTGTCCGCGTTTTTGATGGTCGACAGTCGGTGTGCGACAATAATCGTCGTCCTTCCCTTACTAGCGGCATTCAAAGCAAACTGTACGGCCCGTTCGGACTCGGTGTCTAATGCCGAAGTAGCCTCGTCGAGTAGAAGAATCTTGGGGTCTCTAACAAGAGCGCGTGCGATGGCTATGCGTTGTTTCTGACCACCAGACAGCTTACCCCCCCGTTCCCCCACCACGGTGTTGTACCCGTCCGGCTGTTCAGTGATAAAGTCGTGTGCGTTTGCGAGTTGAGCGGCCGCTTGCACACACTCTTCCGTGATGTTCAAACCGAATGCGATGTTCTCTGCGATTGTCAGGTTGAATAGGACCGGCTCTTGACCAACTACGCCAATGAGTTTGCGCAGATGGCTCACAGGCATAGAGCGAACATCTCGATTGTCCAAGGTTACTGCACCCTGATGGGGATCGTAGTTGCGTCCTATCAGTTGGAGCGTGGTAGACTTACCGCAGCCACTACAGCCAACAAGAGCGACCGTCTCCCCATGCGAAATGTGTATTGACAAGTATTTCAACACGGGGCTGTCAAGCCTGTGTGGGTATGCAAAATGCACAGAGTTGAGCGCTATGTTTCCGATGACCTTGGAGGTGTCCAGTTTGTCGGTGGGTTCGTCTATGGTACGATTAATGATTGGTGTGTCATCCAGTAGCCTTGTTATAGACTTGGACGCTATTTTAGCTTTGGAGGTATCCGCGATGGTGGGTACTGCTTGCTGAATCAGAATTGCTGTGAAGAGGAGGCCTTGAAAACACACCAGAAGCTCTTGTAGGCTTATCTGGTATATTGAGTATAGATATGATCCGTAAGCAAAGCCGATCGCGTATAACATGAACAAGAGAAAATCAACAAACCCTGCTGCCAGCCCACTCCAGTGTGCTCGCTTGGTGCTACCCTGAATTGATGCCGTCCAGTCGTGGTCGTATATAGTCGTACACGTCTCTTGTACCCCGAGCATTGTAACAGTTCGCGCGTTTGAAATGAACTCTGTGGCTCGCCCGTCAGCGCGAGCCCGTCCAGCCTTGCCAGCCCGAGCTCCTTGACTTCCAACCTTATAGTTCAGAATACCGGCCATCACAAAGAATGGAAGTGTGCAGTATAGCACCAAAGCTAGTCGCCAGCTTTGTGTGAACGATATAGTGGCGCCTGAAATTATCACACCGACCATGGCGCACAGCGATCCCAACTGCTTCGTGAACAAGGACTGTACGAGTTGGCAATCTACAGCTAACTTCCTGGTCAACACACCTGAGGAATTTTCTTCTCGGTCAAAGAACATGGGATCCTTTCGGATTATGGAGGCGAATACTGTCGTTCGCAATCGATGAGTTAGTTTTTCACCTGCCCGGTGAAAACAAACATCTTTGATAAACGCCGATGATCCGTGTACGGCAGCAATGACAATAAACATCAAGGAGTAGAAGTCGCCGTCGGTTAATACTTGTTCATCTCCGGGGCCAGTGAGACTGCTGATCAGCAAGCTGTAGACATAGCCAATGACCGGGTACACCGCACCGTAAACTGCCGAAGAGAATGATCCCAGGATTAGTTCGTTCAATTCAGGCTTGGAGAACATCGCAACCCGGAACATTGTCTTGTGCTTCTTGATGGCAGGTGAACTCAGTTGCAACATGCTATTTTTCTCCTCTATTTTTTTTTCCGTATTCATTTCTACTAAAGTCTCGTTTTCCCGTTTATCGTCTGTAGGAATCACAATCTCCTTGCTTTCAATGGTTAGCGTATCAGAACTCAGTTCTGCTACCTCCGCTGTCTCCACAGATGTATTTACAGGTATTTTCGCGGCTTGAGTATGCCAAAGCTTGAAATATAACCCCGATCCAGATTTTGACTCTAAAATCAGCTCATCGTGAGTACCCCGTTCAATGATGGTCCCTCGATCCATCGCTATGATAGTAGTAGCGTTTTGTATGGTGGTTAGTCGATGTGCCACGACAATGGTTGTCCGACTTGAGCAGGCTTTGTCCAAAGCGTCCTGCACTACACGTTCGGATTTGTTGTCCAGTGCGCTAGTTGCCTCATCGAGAAGGAGGATGCGCGGATCTCCAATCAAAGCGCGCGCCAAGGCGATTCGTTGCTTTTGCCCTCCCGATAACATTCCTCCCCGTTCACCTACGATGGTGTTGTATCCTTCTGGTAGATTGGTGATGAACTCGTGAGCATTCGACTCTTTTGCGGCGGCGATTATAGTATCCATGTCCTTCACCGGCCGTCCGAATGAAATGTTGTCCGCCACGCTGATATTGAATAGTATTGGCTCTTGACTCACAATGCCAATCTGATCACGCAGCCAGGCAACGTTTAAATCTTTGATATCGATCCCGTCAAGTAGTATTCTGCCCCGTTTTACGTCATACAGGCGCTGGATAAGGCTTACACAGCTGGATTTCCCGCTCCCTGAGGAACCGACGAGCGCTACGATGTGAGAATGTTTAGCAGTGAACGAAACATTTTGGAGCGCATCTATTTCTGGTCGTGTGGGATACGAGAAGTCGACCTTTTCAAACTCGATTTCGCCAGTACATGTTTGCGGACGAAGACCCTCTTCGCTGCTTGCATCAATAAATACCTCGCTGTCAATCATGGCAAATAAAGTGCGGGCAGCGACACATCCATCGTTCCATATCAAAAGGCCTGGATGAACAAAGCTTAGGGCGGTTTTTCCCAACATAACAGCGGCGAACACTGTCACTACAGCACCGCCTGTGATCTCCCCGTTGTATACTAGCCGTGATCCATACCACAAGCCAAGTGCGAATGCAAGGGGTATTAGAGCGAACATCACACCACTGGCGGTTCCCACGATCCAAGCATAGCGGATGCCTGTAGATAGCACCTGGTTGACGCCTGAATTGTATCGCCCTTCTAGCATAGGCAGTGATTCGGGCATGGTCTGTACTACACGGACACCAGATATTATCTCATCGGCGAATATCGCAGCGTTCCTGTAGGTTTGACTTGTCACTTTCGCCCTTTCAACCGCTGCCTTTTTGGCAAATGTGAGCGAAAGAATCAAAAACGGTAACGTGCTCATTGTCACCAGTGCCATCTTCCAATTAGTAGCCAGAGCAATAGCGAACGCAGTGATCGCTTGCGAGGTATATCTCAAAATCTCTGAACTCTTGGGACCAAGCGCATCCTGAATCTGGTCGACCATGTTCAACGTCAATGTCAATGATCCCACTAAATTTGTTTCATAGAAAGCTTGCTCTTTATGAAGTATAGATCGCAGGAAGTTTGTACGAATGACTCGACCTTGCCTTTCACTAGTGATGTGGAACGTGGCGTACTGAACATATGCTGTGAACATAGCCAGTACTCCGAGTGCGACGATGACGACAATGTATTTTGCAACTTCCGACTGTACATTCGATCGTTGATCTGGATTATCTATAAACAAATCGATCATTTCTCCGAACAGAATAGTCCATATTGGTATGATAGCACCGTGACTTACAGATCCGATCGCTCCGAAAACGATAAGGAACCCATCAGCTTTGTTGGTATATCTGAAGATCGCCGGTCGCGTTGGGAATTTGATAAGCTCTGTCCACCTGAAACTCGATTTGCGAGCATGATTAGCGTTTACACTATAAATGTCGGCGCCTGGAAGGCTCTGCTTACCTTTTATTTCACTGCCCATACCGGAAAATATTGTTCGTGAGCGGTGTTTGCTTGTTTTTTTGAACCCAGTTCTTTCACAATGTTTTATATATATAGCGATCAATGCCATCAAGACACCTAGAGTACATCCAGTATTTTGGATGACCGAATTTTCCAGAGGTCACACAGAGGTGACGATGATTCTGATTCATGTATTAAAAAGTGGCTATGTATTGTCAATATAAATAGGAAATCCAGCATTATCCTGCATCGCCGATTGTACAATCTTGGTGCCAATTTTTATAGATAGATATGATCTTTTCTGGACTCTGGACTCGGGACTCGGGACTCTGGACTCTGGACGACTGAATTCCAATATTTTAATATGAGAGCAATGGACTGCCCTTCTGTTGTCACTCTTCTCAAGTTCTCAGTCTTCAATCTTCAATAAGGCGGTTCGGATGTGCTACTTTGTTTTAGGGTTTATTTTTGGATCAAAATCATTGTTCCTTTTTCAGGGGCCTATGCCAAAATACAGGGGGGCGAGTGGGGGGTAGGGG